GCAGTGTTTCGTTCTGCTGTGCATGGGGTCGCTATGAGTCGGAAATGACTCGACGGCACTTAACAACAACAACAACTGTTTAACAGACATTAAACCATGTGAAATACTATACAGGAGACAATTTATATTTATGTGACTAATACAAAAGCCACTTATGGAAATAGTTAATTTTCAAGTCAGTTGATATTCTTAGCTTTCTCTTTCATTATTCCTAGATATCTAAATAAGCAAAGAGTTTATTAACACACAATTTAAAAACCATGAGAAGTAAAAGTCATAGTTATATTAAAAATAGACAGCCATACAGAGGTTCTTTTTGAGCTGAATTTTGTACCAAAACACCAGTGGAGTAATAGCAGGGCAGGAGAGGCTTACATGCCATCCTTTGCAGATCTGACTCAAGAGGTATATTACCATAAAGCAAATGGAGCTTCCACTTCAGGGCCTCTTACTTGTAGACGGCTTACTATTCTTATTCCAAATAAACATGCAAGTTTATGCCTAATTTTTGTAGCCAAAATCAGTTTCTGCTCAACTACTAATCTAAAGGTTCGCAGCTCAAACCTACCCAGTGGTGCAGTGGAAGGAGGATCTGGTGATTACAGCCAAGAAAATGCTAAAGTGCAGGCAGCTCTACTCTGTAACACATAGGGCCACCATGAGTTGGAATCAATTCAACAATGACAAGTTTTTCGTAAAAGAGCACTTCCAAAAATTGTAAAGGTGAAGGCCTCACACAGCCTGGGTCCATGCCAATTAATCCCCATTGACATCCAGCTGATTCCAGACAGAGAACTGTGCCACAGCGTTTCCAAGACTGTAGTCTTTACAGAAGCAGAATGCCACATATTTCTCCCATGAAGTGGCTGGTGAGTTACAACAACAGTCTTTTTGGTTAGGAGCTGAGCACTTAACCTCTGCACCACCAGGGCCCTCTCTGGTTGACAGTATCTTAAATGAAACAGTAACAGTAGTAGGCAGGCTAGGCCACGGACAGTACTCAACATGAAAATGAATACCCTGGAGCAAACAGCTCCTGAAAAAATCATGTCAAATCACTACAAAACACTCAGTCTTACAAACAGTCACTTTTCTTAAGTATGTAATGGTCTTAACCTTCAAAGTTGCTGATTTAGTTGCTGAAGGAAAAGTGGGTCCAACTGGGTAAAGTCATCTGGTTGACCTGCTCTAGGACCACATGGCCAAACTTCTCTCCTGAAAGCCTCCTCCCCCCCAACACCTGCATACTGATACATACTGGACACAGCCTTCTCTTATGCAAACTATAACTACTGTTACTACACTGAGAGAAAATGGGCAAGAGCATCAGCAAACCAAAACCAACAGCAGTGGGCGATAAAAAACAACTATGTCACTTCCCTAAACCAGTGACCTGACTAGGTCAGGCCTGTCTCCCACACTTACAGTCCACTTTTCACCCACACGGACTGGGTGTAGAAGTGCAGGTCCTTATTCAGAATAGAGTTTACAGCCTCTTCTAGATGTAACTCTCTTCCTTCACAATGTTCCAGAGCAAAAAGGCTGATGGAAGGTTCTTCAAAAACCTGACACATTAAAAAAAAAAGAAGACGTTAACATTACCGTATGGGTTGGACATAGCTCAGAGGCATCCCAGTCAGAATGCTGGGCTGCCTGAACCCACTGTATTGTATTCTCCCATTGGTAAAGTTTACTGCTCTACCCTTAAAAGACTTTACAGTCAAAACTGCACTGGTGAGATTGGGTTCAATAATTTTTATTCAACCTTTTTGTAAAGTAAAATTAATGTTATCAAAATCACAATTTTAATCCCATAGTAAAAACGGACATATAGGACACCTGATTCCTAACTGCATATTAAACGTTTGGTTGTGCTGTAAGGAAGACCACACAGTTGTTCTGCCAATGCCTTTTTAGCTAGCAACAGAAAACACAGAACCCTCATTTCCCAGGAGGTCACAGGAACAGTCAAATTTTATGGATCTATGGTCTTAAAAACATCCTTAGGAGGGATAAATAAAAAGTTGTTTCTAACAATAAAAAAAAGAATGTACAAGGAGAGGGGTGATTTTTGCATTCTAAGTAATGACTCCTCTGCTCCCCTGTTCCTCATGTCAGACAAGAATAGACTTAATATTGCTCTTTTTCATTCATTAATATATGCCAGACACCATGCAAAGAGACATGAGAGGGATGAGAAATCAAAACAATGCCCCATCCATGTGCAAGGGACATTACTAACAAGCAGCTGAATTAGGAAAACTGCACGAATATTGTAGGAGAATACAATGTGGAAAAAATATGCACCGTGAGAGTACCCAGTGGAAGGTTAGATTATTTTTAGCAGAGAGGAGCAAGAAATTATGGAAGCCTCATGGATACAGTGTCATGTGAATTCAGTCTCAAAGGGTGCAATAGGTTTAGACTGGCAGAGATAAATCAGAGAGAAGGCTGTCTGTGCCAAGGAAGGGACACAGAAAGGTATGGGATATATTAGGGGAATGGCAATTAGACCCATTTAGCTGGAATCCAAGCCCAGCAGCAAACACTACTGAGTGCTCACACAGCTACTTTGTTCTGAGTTGCTTCTTACCTCCTACACCGATAGGGCAGAGATCAAACACTGCCAATGGTGAGTACTTGAAGGCTTCTGAACTAGGGTCTAAGACTGTGCTGAAGAATACATAACTTTATGTATGAGATATGGAGCACAAACAGCAGAAACCGGGGAAGGTCAAAAAACCAGTTTAAAAAACAACTGACTGTCATAGCTGACCCTGATGATATAATTGCATAGGGGCAAAACACTTTGTGAAAAAGAACCATTCCTTGCAGCAGTATTTGGAATAGTGAAGGATAGGGAATGATCTAAATGACAATCATGAAAAACCAAAAATCAAACCCATTGCCTTTGAGTCTAGAGAGACCACGTAGGATGGAGCAGAACTGTGCCATAGGGTTTCCTAGTCTGTATTTCTTTATAGAAGGGGCTCTGGTGGTACAGTAGTTAAGCACTTGGCTGCTAATCAGAAGGTCAGTGGTTGAAACTCACCAGTTGCTCCATGGGAGAAAGATGTGGGAGTCTGCTTCTGTCAAGGTTACAGCCTTGGAAACCCAACGGTGCAGCACTACTCCATTCTATAGGGCCCCTATGAGCCAGAATTGACTTGATGGCAATGGATAATCTTTATAGAAGTAGACTGCCCAATCTATCTCCTGCTGAGCAGCTGGTGAACCCCCAACCTTCTGGTTAGCAGCCACGTGCTTAACCACTGTGCCACCACAGCTACTTCCCATCACGAAGCAGTCAAATGCCTTAGGCATTACACTACCAGAGCGCCCCCATTAGGAAGAGACTAGTTAAATGTACTGTACATTCTTACAGAGGAACTTTCTACAGCTGTAAAAAAGAAAAGAAAAGAATGAGGCGATCTTTATGGAAAGATATCCAAGGCTAATTCTTTAGTGCCAAAAAAAGTGAAAAACAGGGCAAAATGTCTATTTCCTATGCTACCATTTATGCAGAAATGAAAGGAAATTTTATGCACATACCCATACACACACAATTTCTATACATCATAAAAATATCTGAAGATATAAAACCAGTAACCATGGTTACCTGTTGGGAGAATAGGAGCATGAATGGAAGCAGTTTTTCACTGAGTTCCTTTGGGCACTTTTAGATTTCTGAACCACAGGAACATATTATTTATTTACACATTTAAGTTGGTAATTATTATGCATATGGTTGCATATGTGCTTGTGTATGGTTTAAATGGCCTTTATGAAATTTATCTGTCAACAAAATGAAGAATATAAAGAATGGAAATAAAGGGACAAGTATACTGGTAGAATATTAAAGGCCAAAGAAAAAGAGCAGCAGACTCAAAATGGTGGTAGAGACAGGAAAAACAGCAGGGACTGGTAAATATGGGATGACCAGGAAAACCATCACAATGATAAAATAGGCATGGAAAGGCAAATGAATAGAGAAAGAGAGGAAATAAAGAATAAATGAGGAAATCAAGAGTAAAAATATACACACATTCACACACACACACACACACACACATACTCAGGAGCTAAGAAATGGGATAATCTTAGAGATATCCAGAAGACACTGCACATTCTGACCTGGAATTCAGGAAGAAGATTAAGTATAGAGATGAGAGTATGGGAACTCTAGAATCTGGGCAACTGGAGCCAGGGATGAGAAAATGGAAAGAAGTAGGAGGAGGCCAGAAGTGTACAGACTTACAAGGGTGGGTGGTGATGAAAGATGGGCCTGTAGAGGTGACTGACAACATGACCTGAGAGAAAATATTACAGACATGAAGGGAAAAGAAAATTATAAGGAGGAGTTGCCCCACAGTATCAAATACTTTCATGATGTTGAGGAAGAAAATACTGTGATGAAGATACTGGGTTTGGCAGTTAAGAGGCAGCTGGTGAGCAGTAATAGAACTGCTTCAGTGGTGCATTGGAGATGATGGGTGGACTCTGGATTGTGAGGGCTGAGGAGCAGTAAGTTGTGATAAACTGCAGACAAGGTGTGTAGAATAATTTTTGGAGATGTGTGGTAAAGGATACAGATGTTGGTAGTGGCCTATGAGGTAAATCAGAGTGGAAAGAGCATGTTTTCAGCCACACTGGAAAGTGACAGTGGAATAGAAATAAGCTAAGGACAAAAAGGATGTTTGTAGAGGAGTGAGAGGTCCAGGTCACTGCTTCCCACCAGTTCAGAAACTGGCTGGAATCACTCCATGAAGAAAAGTATTGTTTTAGAAAGGATAAATTATGCTTCCTCTGAAATAAACAGATTATAAAGGCTACTGAGAAATTTCCTGGTACAGCACAGGGAAATGTGCAATTTTCCCTTTAAATTAAGTGACAAATGTTACCTATTTATCAGAACTCATGAAGTCCCTGTCCAACAGAATGTTCTGCTGTGATGGAAACGTTCTATATAGTTGCACTCTCCAACATAGCAGCCACTAGCGCAGTGCCTCGGGAGTTTGACTGCTAACCGGAAGGATGGCGGTTCAAATCCACTAGCCACATGGAAGGAAGACTGGGCAGTCTACTTCTGTAAAGATTTACTGCCTCGGAAACCCAAAAGGGGTCACTACGAGTTGGAATTGACTCAATGGCAATGGCTTTGGTTTTTGGTTGAGCCACATGTGAGAAAAACTCTGGTGGCACTGTGGTTAAAGTATTCAGCTGCTAACAAAAAGATTGGTGGCTCACACCCACCGGCTTCTCTGTGGGAGAAAGAGGAGGTAGACTGCTTCTAGAAAAATTTACAACCTTGGAAAACCTATGGGGCAGTCATACTGTGTCCTAAAGGGTTGCTATCAATTGGAATAGATCTTGATGGAAGTGGGTTTTTTTTTTTTTAAGCCACATGTGAGTACTGAGCACTTCAAATGTGGCTGATGTTGCCAAGGGTCTGAATTAATATTTAATTTTAATTTATTTGAAGTTAAATAACCACATGTGGATTGATGCAGCAATCCTACATGTAGGAATTTATCTTCATGAAATAACGAGAAGTTTGATAGAGGTGACCACAAAAAGTACTTAAACATTTATTTATGAAAGAAAAAACTATTAATGAGGCCCAGAGATAGAGAAAAATATTGCAGAAAATGATAAATTTTAATAGTTTATACAAATCATTAAGAATAGTCTAAGAGACTGAATAGATAAATGGGCAAAGGACATAAATCAATAGCAATAGCCAAACAAGAAATACGATTAACAAACCAATGTGGGAACACAGTCTATTTCTCCACTAACAACAATAAAAGGATATCATCATGTGGAAATATCTATTTTGTCTAAGCTTGAAGTCATTCCTTTCAGAGAGTTATGATATATATTTAACTTTGTTTTTCTATTTTTAAATAGCTTTAAGTGATTTAAATTTATAAATACACTTGAGTTTATAAACCCACATGATATACAAATACACTTAAATGTTAGGTAGATTCTCATGAACTTACTGTTAACCTGAGCAGGATGGGAAAGGAGTGGTTAATAGCTAATCATTCAGAAATCAAGTCCTGAAGAACTATTTTAAATCCTATTTTCTGACACATTTTCCAAACACGAAAGTAGAAAGAGATAACAGTCTTCAAAACCGAACATGACGTAGTAACTTGAACTTTCCAAGGACAACAGAAACTATAAGAATTTAATTGCAATTTGAGCTCTACAAATATATTGGCGACAGTCCATGTAAATTTAAAAGGCAGCCAACCACTTGGGGCCAAAGGCTCTTCTTAGGTGTTATCAGCAACAGGACATTCCTGTGAGGTCAATTTTAAGCCATGCAAAGAGGATACAGTTTCTAATGGCAGGATGTGGTTAATTAAGAAAAAGAATACCCAAGCAAAGTGTATAATTGAAACTTTAAATTAGAACCAACTCCCTCCTCTCCAAACACCATTACTCTTCCTCATATCATCTAAAATAATATTTTAAATGATAATAACAACATGTATAGTACTTAATAAGTGCCAGCCATTGTTCTAAGGGCTTGAAATATCCACTGTTCCACATT